TTAGTCTCATTTTGAGAAAGACAACATGTTTCTCCTTATATTTTAAGATATTTGCTTCAGTCTTACCTCTGACCTTTTGAATAGGAATGTGCTCGATCATCATACAAGTGTTTTCCATCAAAGTCTATGTCAAGACTCCAGATTATGATAGATGTATCACTCACATATAGTGTTCAGACTGGCTGGAGAATGAATGTATTACTTAGCCTAATTCAACACAAATGAATTCAGGTTGTGATATATATGCACAATTTAATTATCATCAATTCCCTAGATTTTTTTACAATTTTAATACATGAACATCTCATATGCTATTTCAAACCTTTTAAACAAAATCTAGAATTAATGTTCTAAACAGGATACAATTTTATATTACACGATAAACTTAATGAAACATTTACCTTTATACGTTTGTAACATTTATCAAAAGAATTATTCTGAATAGCAGGAAAAAACAGCACAGAATGGAATTTATTTCACCTGAAACGGGTCCATAACCCCCAATTAATTGTTAATTGGCAATAAAAAAGAAATAATACCAAAACCGAGCCTATTAAGGCCTCAAAGCTAAGAAGATTATTAACCCAGCATAGCCAAGGAGATACTTAATTGACAAAATGTATAATTGTAGTTGTGCCTTAAATTACTGATCACATTTGCACACCTGTGGAGACTTAATTATGGATTCTCAATACAGGTATCATTAATTTTACCATCACAATCTTCTCTTAATGAGAGATTGATCAGTGTAATGCGTCTATCCCCTCGACCTGTGTGTGCCGAGATAGGTCTCCACAACAATCAACTACCTCACTGTCCTCAAGTCAGATACATCATACAACATTCAGCTTACAACCATAACATACAAATCTCATAAAAACTCACTGCCTAGTGAAACAGGATTACAAGCTATCCATTGGCAGAAATCAATAAAAAGTCAAATAAGGCAAAAAATACTAATCCTGAAAAAATAGGGTGAAAGAGTCACCAATGTCATACTATTAAGGCAGTATATATTAATGAATGTCACAAAATATCAACTAGATTAGGATCGCAGTACCATAACAGAAACAAATATCATAATTGTGGTACGAAACCCTAAAAAATACCAACAAATATTAAAAGTAATTTAAAACGCTGTGTTTAATGCTAAAAAGATACATATTCTTAAAATATATATATACACTGCATTTCTTGACTCTTAACGGTTGCTTATTACACGATCGCAAAATGAAATGACAAGCTTAAATTCTGAAAAAGTCATTTTTCTGAAAGTCAAATGAGGTTTTATTTTGACACAACACATATCATTATTTGAACACAAGAATCAAGAGGTTCCATATTAAGCGGTGATATAGCCCCAGTGTATCAGTATAGAGATCATAAATCAATGCACAGCAGGCTAGTAATGTGGTCTCATTGAAAACATGTCTCACAATATTTCCCCCCAACACAAAGACAGACAAGATGAACACACTGTAACCTGACTATCCTACACAAAGTACCTGATTTCCGGGGCCTGGCTAACTGTGTAAGGTACGCAGGTACAATCGCAGTCCAGTGTTCTGCAACTCACGTGCACTTCAACGCAGTACTGCTCAACAAAATGAGCTGTGATCCTGTCACTTGGTAACGGAGAAGAACAGATACCGGGACCAGCCATAACTCCACTCTCGTTGATATTTCTTGTAACCTTAGCAACGGTATAAACAGACAAAAGCCCCTTGCGACTATCTCATTAATACGGATATTTAGGCACCGTAAGAGCATGCAATATGACTTTTCATTAAATTGAGTGATTCCTTCGCGATCGATAGCCCATCGTTATCGCCCAATACATATGGGGCTAATGTACTAATTCATAACCAGAAACCATACTATAATGGAGGTTCCTGGAGTACGGCAACAACACTACAACAAGACCTTGGAGATTGTTTATCATGTACATGTACTGTTTCCAATTTTCCTGGTTGAGAAACTTGACATTGCATTCCACCTTATCTTATTGATTTTTTATTTCTTTCATACAAAGTTGACCTTTTTAAGTCAAAATCACATATTTAGGCCAGATAAAATCATAAAAAGTCAATGGTATACGATTTTTTCTTAAGCTCACAAATCGGTTTACACCAAGTTCAGTATTTATGAGACATGCAGGCCAGATTTCATTCAATTAGAATCAGCTCTGAAGAAATGCTGCTGATATTATTAGCCCCAGGAGATAGAAAATAGATATAATTTATTACTTTTTACAGAACTTCCAACAATATTGGCTCAAATTCAATCAAGGCATTTTGTCATATAAGTATTTTTCAGACTTATTCAGATTCTGCTATACATGTATTATTTTTTTCTCATTTCATGAATAATATCAAAACATGGTGAGTTATTTTGTATTAAAATTCTTTACTTCATGTACATGTGTTTAAGTTGTCTCTAAATTAATGGAAATCTTGTCAACTCATCATACAGATGGCTCGATTAAAAGCAATTTGGTTATTAATTTTTTCAAGCTATTTTCATCTGTTAATCGATTTATTTTTTAATGACATATCTGATTTCTTTCTGATTTGATTGTTTAAATCTGTTGCAATATCATTTTCGGAGAGAAGTACTATCAATATTGAAATATTTTCTTCTAAAAGGTGAATTCAAATAGGTGACAATAAAACCTAAGGCATAGTTAACAAAACTAAATTATTATATTTTTTTAAAAACCATCTTGAAAATTTCTAACTGATTTAAAAGCTTTGAAATTTTATCTTTCATGAGTGTTTTGCTTAATAGCAAACCTTGAATGTGACAAATTGCTTTATTGAAAACCAAGAAAATACAGGTGTTTAAAGCTAGCACAAATGTCTCAGTGTTTAATCAGACTCTTCAACTGCTCTAGTTTAATCATGAAAGATTTCAAGTTGTCTAACGACATATACCTGGGTACCTACATTGCATACCGTATTTGATATATAAAATGTTGTAATATGATCACCCCCTATAATTTGAAAGATTATCACAATATGTAATATTTATTTCATTCAGGATTTAATTATTTCTTATAGTCAACTTGTAGGTTTTGTTAGAATAAGGTAACTTGCATCATCAAAATAACGCTACATCTATTGATCTGACTATGTGAAATAAAAGCTAACGCGACACATTATCTGCTAGTTACATAAAGTGACCAATGCAATCTTTCAGAATGATGTACTTCTTATTAATGGGGAATTTACTTGGGAAAAGAATTAATAGATGTGCAAGTCACTTACTGTGGCAAGAATATAGTTCAATCACACGGTATAAAGTGCCTGGTATGTTGTTTGAGGAAATGGTTCTTAACAAATGCATTCTGGTTGCGTTTACCTTGGCCCGTCCCATATTGAACTTCCAATATGATATGTACTTGTAGGGCCAATTTATTACCATACGACTAAATTTTTCGTTTCAGATAATTTGTTCACCTTTATATTGATTATTTATAGAAAACAGGATATCAATCTCTGAACAGACCTCAAGTGTATATTTGTGTGCAAGCTGTTAACTTAATTAAACTGATATATATATAACAAAGAGGCTGTGAGTCCCTTTAACAGATGTCAACTGACCGTTTTACGTGGTATACAGTGGTCAGTGACCAGACAGATCAGCAGCTGATGTGATGTAGATTGCTATTTACTACCAATACATGGCCAGATGACCACTAGTTGTGTCCTGTTATCAGTCCAGATTGTTATCAATTATGTGGGGCCTTGTGTAAATACTGGTATAATGGCAAGTTTATATCTATTTCAATCAATTACTATGGCCAATAGCTACTGTCATACCAGTCAATCACTGACAGTAGCTGACCACTGACCTGTGAGCAGATCTGGTCATTACCCCCCACACAACAAATACCAGGTAGATCTTGATCATGTCATTTCATTCAGATGTGTCAATTATCCTGTTTTAAACGCAAAATAAAGTCAAAAACAGTCTTGGTTAGGTTAGCACTATAACTATATAAATCCTACAAAGTAATCCTAGTTTACTTCTCATTTTAATTAAATCAAATATAACAGGTTTGGACTCAATTTTCATTTAGCAATACAAAGATTTAACAAATTAAATTGTTAAGCTTGCAGTATTCAGGATGTTAACTATAACTCAGTCAAAAATAAAATGCTAATATATCATTATTAAAGCAGTAAATAAAGGCAAATGTATGCAACTGCCACTACCAATAGTAACATTATGCATACTTTTTAAATGAAATCAGTGTCATCAATATTGATAGAGATAAATTTACATCAAAAACATTTAATATTAATATGAAAAAACTTTTATTTTATTTCTGTTTGGTAAAATTTCAGATATTTATGGAATGTTCAAATACAAAAATAATTCACAACCAATGTAATAGACTATTAGTATGTGTTTATACAACTGAACTCTTTGTCTAAGACAAGTTGCTAGCTCCAGACCTCGTCATTCTCAATCTTGTCACCTTTGTTCAACAATTAATTAGTTTTAAGTGTCTTTATAAAACAATCTGTAATCAATTGTATTTCATAAGTTTTATTTTAAATTAAATAATGCTACCAGTACCAATCTGTGATTCTGTAAATCATTTTATGAAGTATGCATTGGACAATTTGAATAATTGACAATGTATTTCTTGACAACAAAAGAAGCCCTGGGAAATTATATAAACAATGAAGACACAAATCTTGTGAATACTGTAAAAGATACTCAATCTGAGTACCCTAACGATACTTCGAATAAAGTAGTTATGGTGAGCATTAAGTTGCAATGTCATCTGCATTACTGTGCCGTTATATATATGCAAAGTCATGCCAGTACACATGTGTGAAGTTCATGTGTTAAATATATGTGTCATGGGAGCGATAAGACCAGCATATTCTCATTTCAATATCGATCGTTAGAATAATTCATGTCGTGTGTGTATTAGCGTTGTGTCTGTGCTGTATGTAATACGATAAAATAGGTAGTGATTTGCCTACCTGTCGCTGCTTCTTAAATTTGATAAAGGATTCTTGCAAGTTCTTCTTTCCTTCTTTTGATTTCATATCGCCAAAGTCTATTGTAAATGCCTCACCGGTCTTACGTCTTTCACCTGAACCGGTGTCCTTGTGCACCTGTCTGACTTCATCGAAAGACAGGTCGGCCATGTTGACCATTGACCTCTACCCTTGTCGCGCTTGACATGCGTTTACAGTATTTCACACCATACTGATTATGTCTAGTGAAGTATGACCTATGTAAGCAGGTCTTGTATTGTTTCAGGTAGCTTATTGATCATGAGGCAACACTTGTGTATGACCACGGAATTAGCGGTATGACGTGCGAACGTAAGGTTGTTTAGCAGGCGCCTTGACGATTTCAAAACAAAACTCATCCCAACACATCGTTGTAAAATTGATTCTGATTGGCTATATACAACGTAATGATCCAATGGAATCAGCAGTATCATTATTGGGTAATACTAAAATCAAAAGTAAAATGGAATTGTACATCTGAATATTACAAAATAAATTCATTATTTCTTTGACGTTAAAATCTCGGTTTTCATCACGGAATTAAATTAGCCAGAGACGTATATATTACCACGGACTTAGATCTAACAATAAAATATTAATCCATCGACAAGATAAAGCTGAGGCACTAAATAACTTCTTTACCACCATGGCCATTGCCTCTGATATTACTGACACTAACCTACCTGATTTATCTCCCTTATGTCCATTTGAACTTTCTGACATTAACATAAGTGAACAAGATATAACTGACCAATTTGACATTTTTAATAAAAACAAACCAGCTGGTCCTGATGGTATTTTAACTATGATTGTAAAGAACATTTCTTCTTCTTTAGTATACCCACTCAAACTATTATTTAATAGAACTTTATCTATTGGTGTAATACCTGATGTACTAAAAACGGCTAATGTTACTGCTCTCTATAAAGGTAAAGGAGATATCAGTGATCTCAATAATTATAGACCTATTGCTGTTACATCTATTTTTATCAAAATGTTAGAAAAAAATATTTTTAAGTATACGTTTCATTATATTTCAAGTCACAATATGTTAAGTGTACATCAGTCAGGATTTCAACCCAAAGACTCCACTACTAATCAACTAGCTGATATCCATAATACTATAAGTGTCAATTTAGACCAAGGTAAAGATTTGCGTTTTGTCTTCTGTGACATAAGTAAAGCATTTGATCGAGTATGGCATTTGGGCCTATTATATAAACTAAAAACATATGGTATTAAAGGTAAATTATACAATTGGTTTAAAGCTTACTTATCTGACAGAAAACAAAGGGTTATCTTTGAAGGTTATAAATCTAGTACCAAACCTATTTCTTCAGGGGTTCCTCAATGATCTGTCCTTGGTCCCTTCCTCTTTCTTCTTTTTATTAATGATATTACTAACAATGTAACTTCTCATATAAAACTCTTTGCAGATGATACCTCTCTCTATGTAATAGTAAATAATAACAATGTTCTTACAGCACCTACTAACATGCTTAATGATGATCTTGACTCAATCTCTGAATGGTCAAAGCGATGGCAGATCCTATTCAATCCGAATAAGACTGTAGCTATTAACTTCTCTCGTAGACACATTAACAATCATCCTCAACTGCTATTTGACAATACTCCAATTGCACAACATGAACACCATACTCACTTAGGACTAACATTTAACAGTAAAGGGACATGGTCAGATCACATTTCAAATATTTATAAGAAAGCGAACTCTAGACTGGGTATTCTTAGAATTTTAAAAACTACAGTTGATAGGAATACATTAAAAACATTATATGTCTCTTATATAAGACCTGTGCTAGAATATTCTGATATAGTATGGGATAATTGTACCAAATCGGAATCAGATCTTTTAGAATCAGTTCAACTAGAAGCTATGCGTTTAATTACTGGCCTCAGACGAGGTACATCTCATCACATTCTGTATACTGAAACACAACTTGAAACATTACACACACGAAGACAAAATCATAACCTAACATTAATGTATAAGATTCTTAATAATTACACTCCAACTTATCTCGATAATATCATTCAACCATTTCTAAATGTAAATAATAACTATACCTTCAGAAATAGCAGATTCTTTAATATACCACAGACAAGAACTACTACTTATATGAATAGCTTCTTCCCTTCTACAATGGTAAAATGGAATGAACTTGATAGCACTGTACGAGACTCCATCTCAATTTCATCTTTTAAAAAGAAACTTAAAAGAACATTTGATACATCTGTCTCAGAAACTTTTATTAACTGTGTTCCGAGGAAACTTAACATAATTTTATGTCAGCTAAGAAATTTTAAAAGTGATCTTAACTGTGATAAGTTACAAGACCATCTGATTGATGATGCTTCCTGTGTATGTGGTGTACAGAGGGAAGATCTAATACATTTTTTCTTTCAATGTCCTCTGTATTCTAATATTAGGCATCATATTACCACTATTTATAATCTATTAGGATATTTAAATCTGCACTGTTTAGTATATGGTATTAGTAATGCATCCGACCAATTAAATAAAACTATTCTTATATGTTGACTCTTATAGTAAATCATCAAAACGTTTCGTTACTTATACGTGCTAGATAAATTCCAAATGAATATTCATGTATTGTTATAATTATTGTTATTCAGGCAAGTTTTATCCCTTAAATAACGAGTATTAGACATAAGCTGGTGTGGGTGTGCATGAGTGTGAGAGGAAAACGAATCACAACATTTTATATATTTAAGCATTGTACATAGCTACCGGAATTAGAAGAAGACTGATATAGGCAAAGCCTATTGTCTTATTCTTTTGTCAATACTGTTCTAATATCTTCTTTAATGTTAACTTATATGTTTGTATTATATATGTATTGTCACGGACTTAGATCTATTCTAATTCCGTGGTATTGTCAATAAAATACTTTTGAAATTTGAAAAACACCGAAAGCAGGTGCGTGCTTAATTTTAACGCTAGTGCGCAAGCGCGGGCTTCTCGATGACTTCGCGGTTCGGTGAACAAACACAAAAGCGACGTGCTATAGAACTTGACTGGGGCAGAATTGCCAATCCCCTCTATATACTGTCCCTGCTTAGCCTAATGTTGACTATGGACTCGACAGCACAAAGTATGAGGCAAGGGAGGTAAGAACTATAAAGTTCGTATTTGAACCGTCCATTCATAGCTAATATGGCGCAACTCAGTGGAATTGTGACAGAATTTTTTATGTTCCCCTTCACAATCGAGATTTAATCCAAATAAAGGAATTTGATGATAGATACTGACAGCAGCTCTATCAAACCAATAATAATACTTCCACTTGACATGTGTGCCCAGCACGGTCCTTTGTTTGTTTTGACGAACTCTTACGGTGGTTACTTAATTTACTTTTGATACAAGTACATTGTCGAAAAGCTAATGTAGGTTGTAAGTGATAAATACATTTTTAATAATTTATCCGCGTAACCTCAGATAACTCACACGTGACACATCACACATAACCAACTAACCGTGCCATGTGCTGCACTCGACATGGTCCACTGAACACAGACCAGTAAAGGAATCAATCTAAAGAGGATGGGTCTATAAATATTCTGTAATAAGACAATTTTGTCGTGATAACGAACCGTGACAAATTCACTTTAGTTAAACCCCATTTTCTACTTTGATGACGTCAATCCACTCAATTGTGACGACGGTAAAGACTGTGTGGTGCGTGACTGTACTCACAATCTGGCGCAAAAAAATAGAAATATTGATTTTGTTCAATGGTTCGTTTCGTACACGCGGATATCTGTCTCCAAGCAACGTTGTCGACAGCCAATCAATGTTCTAATTACTAGCCTTTGTAGCTACCCGACAGTGGCTTATATAAAGACAAAGTTCCATGTGATCGCCTATAGTGCTTTTTGCTGTGTCATGATCGCCATTTTACTAATGGAGATGGTTTCCCATGACTGCGTTTTTAATTTTCTAGGCAAACATGTAAAACAGGTTTACATTGACGCTACTGTAATGGCAGTGACAGAGTCTAGACGATTTTTCTGTGCTTCAGGACACACAAACATGTTTACCCCGCCCACGTCTTGAAATTGTCTTCAAATACTTAACGCACTCCGTGTACCACCCCGGGGGCCCCTCCTCAGAAGGAAATCCAGACCCAACATCCCCGCCTCAATCCGCCTCCCCATCCCGACCTCAAATCACTCACAATTACTGGTTGACGATCAAATCACGACCAGAGTCAAGGTTGTAGATTAACACTCTCAATATACGTGCAATAGTCGATAACACATCATTTTTCATGTCACTAATAGACAAAACTGGACAAACACATCAACTTCAACTTCAATATCTGGACACGTAGAAGTAGCAAAATCAAGAAGTCATCCTCCCGGCCCTGACTTGGAACATATGTGTGATTACACCATTTCTCCAATGTCACAGACCAACCTATAAACACTTCAATGTTTTATATTGTCTACTCCTTACCAATTGGAAAAATACACACTTTTACATTTCTTTTTCGTGAAAGTCTTACGTCCTTAAGTTCATGATTTTATTAACCAAGAATTCAGTCCCTGTTTTGTAACTCAGACATTCACGTAAAATTTTGATCACTTAACTTTTCGTAAGTATCTAAAAAATAAATCAAACATATATAAAGCGAGCAAATCCCTTGTCCCATAACTCCGGACAAAAACTCTCAGGAAAAAAATAAACAACGGGCAATAACTCTGTATATAATGGAGCACGAAACATGATATTAAGAGTTCGATACTCCTCCCAGGGGCGGGTCCAGGTGAGGGCGTAATGGGCGTACGCCCCCCGCCCCCTTTAAAAAAAAAAAAAAAAAAAAAACAANCATGCTCCAAGTCAGGAACCATTACATTAGTGCATTTCACAATTATTTTATGTTTTTTAGCCAAAAAAGGTCCAAAAAGGATTCCATTCTACGCCCCCTCTTTCAAATATCCTAGAAACGCCCCTGCCTCCACCCAAAGACAAAACTTGCGCGCAATATATGAGACAATACCCGAAAAAAAGTGACGCGTGGAGAGATCTGACGGACTGTGCGCAACCCGTTTTATGATTCGAAATAATCATAATTAAATGCTCATTTTCGATTGGGATTTGTTTAATGACTTGACGTGTCTTCAAAAAACAATTGGCAAGTTGCATAAGGCGAAGATCACGTTATTTGTTTTCAAATCTGCTGAAAATATTATCTAAATATATAGGACAGCAAGTATTACATCAACAACGTATACATAGAAAAAAACACAAACGATATCTTTGACATTCTTCGTCCCTGCCAGATTTGACACTGAAACAAACTGCTCTTGTTGGAAAAGATTAAGAAAAATAAATAAATTCCATGACGTTTGTGCTGTAAACATGTATATCATACAAGCATTCTGATCGTATGTTGACGTGTCGCCATCTTGGAGCACAGTTTACCAACTACCACAATCGTTTCTGCTTTATGACCAAAAATCTGACGGAAAATTTCCACGAAAAAGTCTCAGGGATTCAAAAAGAAAGGGGCCTTTTTTATATCATATTGCCCTTGTTTAAAGTTGCATATTGCTTCTCCATTTCAAAATTTATATTGGAATGTCGAACGATTACACAAGGAGACCCCTTTGCCATAAAGAGAGCGAAAACACCAATGGGTATTCCGTGCGTCAGGATGGCGACTAGAGTAAAACTGATCAAAGTGCTTGCAGATATTTTGTGAGGTGCATATCAGAAGTAAGATCTTTTAGTCTTCTTTAAACAGAAACGAACAAATTATATGATTACAAAGCTTCATTGATTCGTTAGTGTTCTCGTGGAGTCTTGAAAAAAATACAACCCTTATTAATAATTTGTTTTTATAAAAGGCGACTGTCCTATGAATGCTAGAGTTCTTGACTTCACAATAGTAACAATCCGCTTCTGGGTGATGGCGTTGTCTGTCTTGTCACTCATTGCCATACCATGCAGACAACATCACCAGCCAAACAGATCGGTAACTATTATCAAATTCATATACTTTATATGCTGAATACGTTATCAGTTTTCAAATAGAAAATGTATCTTAATTCTGATATGGAGCTTTACATACACAATATCAAAAAGATTATAT